ATTCCTAAATAATTAATATAATCTAAACTATTAAATAAAAATTATTTTTGTGAGAATTAAACTAAGGAAAATAAATAAACTAAAGCAAATTGAATAAGGGAGGAAATCAATAAATCATAGCCTAGGGTATAGTCTCACCAATAAATAATATTCCAGGTTAAAACACAACAATCAATTATCAATGCATCAATTAATCAGATCATAAAGGGTTTTCGCTACGTATCACAATCACAGAATTAATCTACCGGTATTAAATCGTTTCTCGAATCTTGAATTAACCTGCCTATTGAAACTAAGCATAAACATCAATTCTCATCTCTCGAATCTCGAATAAATATTGCATAACTCATACAATTAAACCAGGCCTAATCTAATTGCATAACATTAAATCAATCAATAGAAAATCAACACAAGCATTAACAATAAACAATAGTAAATTACCCCTTCATATTATTCATGGATCCCCACAACCCTAAAAATAAAACTTCTCACACATGTATAAATCTAAACTAAGCAAAGCAAAACAACAAGACATAATTAATCAATGTAATTAATTACTGAAAATAAAGGGGAAGAAATTGTTACCAAAATGAACGGAAATAATGAATTGCATAAACTCTAAGTGTAGAGAGAAAAAACAAGAATATTAACCAAAAGCTTAAAACTAAAATCTGGAAATTAAGTAATGAAAGATGTCATCGTATCTAGCTTAACTAAAACGTATTTATACTTATGCACAAAAATCCTAAATAAAAACAAATAAAAATCGTCGAAATCTCCTTAAAAACAAGCGCCTAGTCGGGCAGAGCTTCGCCTGACCGGGCTCGCCTTTTTGATGGTGACTTCTTCGCTCGCGCCCGACCGGGCGCGAGACATGGCGAAGGGCGCTTCTCTTCTTCCTTCCTCGCCCATCTGGGTGCGCCTCAGGGCGAGTTCACTCCCTGGTCGGGCAAGCTCTCGGGCAAGGGAGTTTCATCGATTGGGCCACTTTCTTGGCCCAATCCGAATTTCCTCTTTGGGGCCTTGAAGCTCGGTCCATTGCCTCGAATTCTTCTTTTCCACCGAGCCCTTAATCACCGATTTGATGACTTTAACCGGTCTTGGGCTACGGAAAAAAGGTCATATGAATGCGCTCCTGCTCTGATGCTCGTAGTGGCTCCAATAAGTCCGGGAAAATGCTCAAAATTCGCAATTTCCTATAAAATAATACCAAGACTACGAGAACACTAGAAAACGCATATTAGTAATAAAAGTGGCTCCAAAGAGCCAAAAATACTGCTAAATATGACCAAGGGACGGGGGTAAAACACTATATAAAATGAACATATTACACTCCCCCAAGCCAAACCTTTGCTTGTCCGAAAGCAAAGAGCTCATCAATGAACAAATAAAACATACTTCACCTCAAAATCAAATAAAACCAAATATAACCAATTCAAAGCAAATCCAACAAGTATGCATCAAAATCAACCAATCAAATTCATCCAACTACTCATCCTTCCTAAGAATTGCGAAATAGAGCAAACCATAAGTGTATAAGGAATTCAAGACTAGTGCTCACACACTCTTCATTCTTTATGTGGTGGATATAAGATGTATCTGATCGCTCCCCATTTAACCCCTTTAATGTGAACAATGCCCTCCCAAACTCACAACGCTCGTGTGTTTAAGAAAACAAGCACTCAACCTAGTAGTCGACTCGGAATATGTCAAATCATTCTTTGCATTGATAAAAAACTAATTTCACATCCATACAACTCTATGCACAAAGGTCGGAAGGTCTTCATAGCTTGTAATGAAAGGCTAGGGTAAAAGGGTAGGAAATATTTGGGAAAATGTGAGAGAAAAGCCATACTTAAGGGACTCAATCCTAATAAACCACGGTAAAAAATAAATAATGACCAATCATCTCCAACACAACTCAACTCAAACAAATATTCACCAAACAACCAATTATATCAACAATTTTCAACTCTTACAATCTCGCTTATAAAAAAACTATAATAATTAAGAACTTGAGCGAATCAAACAAACTTTGGAACTCTTTAACACTTGATTTTTTTTTTTCATTGAAACTCAAAAATTCTTATTCTTTTGAACAACCTTCTCTTAAAACATTTGAACTTTACATAAATTTTACTTTTGCTCTTTTTTTGTTTTTTGTTTTTTTTCCCCGAAGTTCACTTACTTTTCTTTTGATTCTTTTTTTTTCAACATCATGCTTTATTTTTCCAAGAGAATTAGTCTATCCATAATCATCAAAATAAACCACAATTAACAACAAACAACTTCTCAACACCACCCAAATTGTGCTAATAGTAAGCACACTACAGACTCCCTCACCTCACTCACCATTAGCTCCTCAAGCCAAGCTTGGGACTAGTAACCAAAGGGGAAAAAATCGGCTTGTAATGTGGTTAATAAACAACAAGAAGTCAAGGCAGCAACATGGGTAGCAAGAAGGGAACAAATGTATCTAAAATCATCTGAAGGCCACCTAAGAGAACAAATGCCTTTGTCCTCCTTAATGTGCATAATAATGAGTCATACAAACATTACTCTAAGTTGCAAACCAATACTCAACTTCATTGACATACCAAGAACTAACACACAATTCCTAACCAAATCGACTAGCCAAGCACCAAATCCACAAATAGTTGGACAAAATTGACTCTTGTTAGGGCATACGAGCAATAAAACATCAAATTATGACTAACCTATCCACAATACTCCTCATCATATGCCAGGAATCAAATCAAAATAATTTTCATGTATCTATGAGGCATAGGGAAGCATGATTTATCATTCATTGGATCGTATTTTTGTATTTTTTTTTTTATATTCTCAAAGCAATAAAATCTACACTAGAAAGCAATAAAAACTATACTAAACACACCAAAAACAAAAAGGTAGAGAAAAGAAAGATACCTACATCCAAAAATCTCCCCCAAGCTAAAATCTGACAATGTCCTCATTGACTCGAGAATTAACCCAACATGGATAATCATTACCATCCTCATCCATCGCACCAAATCCTCCTCCATTGCCACCTGCACCACTAGAATAACTCCCACCAAAATAATTAGGGTTAACATTACCCCCCATCCCCCCAAAAGGAAAGTCTTGGCCGTAGCCAGAAAATGAAGAGTACCCAGAAAATGAAGAGTAGTCTGTGTAAACATTACCCTTGGGTGGTGGCTGGAACCAGTCAGGGTAAAGGGAGTCAGCAAGAATAGCACCACGATGAGCATAGTCGTCGTACATGGGATAAAGTTCCCTACCCGTGTTCCACTTAACGTAGCCCACCCTCTGGTCAAGGGAACCAACTAGCCTCCTAATGTCACCTACCTGTGTCCTAAGCTCCCCCTGAGTCATCTCTATCCTACCTATAGCCTGACCTATACTCTGTAGGTCCTAAATGGTCTCGGGGTCTGGCCTAGGCTGGTGTGGGGGTGGCTGAGGCACATGTGGTGGCTCATGCATCTCGGGCTGTGGCTGTGGTGGAGATGATGGCTGTGCATGTGGTCGGACTGTGCCCGGACTTGGGCATGGGCCTAGAATATCATAAGTGTAAGAATCTTGCCCGGGGGGAAAGGCGGTCAGCTCGGGGTTAGGAAGAGGGAAAACGGATGTGTAATCCTTCTTGACTCTTACATGCCACTCTAGGACTTTGCGAGGGTTAGGTGTAACCCAATATGTGGGATAGTGCATATCTACAAACTTTCGCATGCCAATATCATTCATAAAACGTCTAACATGCTCATAAAAACCTAAAGATTGAAGGGTGTCTCGGGGTAACCACCAAGAGGGATGTACCTCCCATTCATAGAGGTTGATGAGCCGTTCACGTTGTTGCAAAGTTGTAATCTTGATCGTTGGCCACTGAGGTAGTTATAGAGCCGGGTCGATCGGTGCACTCGAGCCCGAACCGCGTCCCCCTTATGTTCTTGCCCTCTTTTCAATCATCTTGAATATGGGTCTTAAAAAAAATTTGCTTAAAACCAAACCAAAATAGTATAGGAATGTAGAGGATGAAGAGAGGAGAAGGAATATGTAAAAATTTCTGAATTTGGGTGAGAATTGGAGGAGAGATCTTATAGAAAAGGTAGAGAATTTGAGTTTTAGAGAGAAAAACTATGGAGGAAAGAAAAAGAAAGAAGAAAAAAAGAAGAAGAAAGGAGAAAGAAAGAGGGGGAATCCGAAAAGATAAGGGCGTGCCCGGTCGGGCGAATTTTTTGCCTTGGATTTGCTTCTTCTCGCGCCGGGTCGGTCGAATTTGGTTCTTTTTTAGACCTTCACTCTCGCGCCCGGTCGGGCGAATTTTTCTCGTATACGAACTTCCTCTCGCGCCTGGTCGGGCGTGCTACAACACTATGCGTCCGGTTTTTTTTTCTTCTTTCCTTCAAAATTTAGCTAACTTTTTTTCTCCAACTTGTACAAAATACTCTAAAACACGTTAAATTCCCTCCTCTCTTTCTCTCAAAAGACAAAAATAAGGGAAAAACTATTCTAAAAAGCAAGAAAATACGGGTTGCCTCCTCTCTTTCTCTCAAAAGACAAAAATCCAGGTCCCGCACGACCTTCTTACCATATGTCGATCAATATGAGATGGAGTCGATTAGGTGAAGTAATTCCACTGCACCAATCGTAGCCCCTTCATGATATAATTTCAATCTTTTGCAATTTACCTTAAAATCGCCACCATGTTCATTAAATAACTCCACAGAACCAAATTTGTTTTTCCTTTTAACAGTGAAAGGACCCGACCACCTTGACTTTAACTTTCTTGGGAAAAGTTTAAGTCTAGAATTGAACAACAAAACCTTATCTCCCTCTTTGAATTCTCTCGGAAGGATCATCTTGTCATGCCATTTCTTAGTCTTCTCCTTGTAGACACGTGCAGTATCGTAGGCCATCAACCTAAACTCATCTAGTTGGTTAAGTTGTAATAGCCTCTTCTCTCCCGTTAACTTAGCATCCAAATTGAGCTCTTTAATTGCCTAATAAGCCTTATACTCTAATTCCACCGTGAGGTGACATGCTTTCCCATACACAAGTCTATAGGGGGAAGTACCAATGGGAGTCTTAAATGCGGTTTTATACGCCCAAAGAGTGTCATCCAACTTATCGCTCCAATCCTTCCTAGACTTTGGTACCACCTTCTCTAGAATAGCCTTAATCTCACGATTAGAAACCTCAACTTGGCCACTACTTTGGGGATGGTAGGCTAAACCCGTCCTATGGTAGACACCATACTTCTTGAGAAGGGTATCTAGCTTTCGCTCATGAAAGAGATATCCTCCATCACTAATAACGGCCAAATCTAGGAAAAATGGTTTTCTTGAAGAGCTTATGGACTACCTTGGCATTATTGGTAGGTGTGGCAATAGCTTCAATCCACTTAGATACATAATCAACGGCGACAAGGATATAACGATTCCCTTTTGATGAGGGAAAAGGTCCCATATAATCAACACCCCAAACATAAAAAATCTCAACTTCCAAAATACCGATTTGGGGCAACTCATGCCGCTGCGAGATGTTGCCAGTCCGCTGGCAAGAGTCACAAGTTTGGACAAAAGAGTGAGCATCCTTGAACATGGTAGGCCAATAGAAACCTGACTTATTGATCTTTGCTACTGTCTTAGTGGGACCATGGTGTCCTCCATATGGTGAGTTGTGGCATCTTGTAAGTACACCGTGAACTTCCTATTTGGGAACACACTTGCGAAATAGTATTTGCACACTCACGAAACAAAAAAGGATCATCCCAAAAATAATGTTTAACATCATAAAGGAACCTCTTTTTCTGTTGGTAGGACAAATCAGGAGGTAGAGTACAACCCACCAAATAATTAGCATAATCGGCATACCAAGGGTGTTGCTCTACAACGGTAAACAAGTGGTCATTAGGGAAAGAATCATCTATATGAAGGGAATCCTTACCCTCATCATACTTGATCCTCGACAAGTGATCTGCAACAACATTTCTGCTCCCTTTTTATCTTTAATTTCCACATTGAAATCTTGGAGCAAAGAACCCAACAGAGGAGCCTAGGCTTTGTTTCCACCTTAGCTATAAGATATTTTAAAGCTGCATGATCAGTAAAAACAATAATTTTAGAACCAACTAGATATGATCTAAATTTTTCTAAAGCATAAATTATAGCAAGAAACTCCTTCTCCGTGGTGGCATAATTGATTTGGGCTTCATCCATAGTTTTACTTGCATAATAAATAGCATGCAAAACGTTGTTCTTTCTTTGTCGATATCAAAGCCTACTTAATCCTGTTAAAAGCCTCACACATAATCTTGAAAGGAAGATTCCAATCGGAAGCACATATGATAGGTGCCGATATCAAAGCCTACTTAATCCTGTTAAAAGCCTCAAGACATTCGTCAGTAAAATCAAATGGGGCATCCTTAAGTAAAAGCTGAGTTAGTGGTTTAGAAATTGTTTAAAAATCTTTAATAAAGCTACGATAAAACCCCGCATGACCTAAACTTCTAACCCCTTTAACATTAACTGGTGGAGGTAATTGCTCAATCACAGAAACCTTAGCTTTATCTACTTGTATACCCTTGTCAGATACAATATGACCAAGAACCACTCATCTGTCACCATAAAGATACATTTTTCCTAATTTAGGGCCAAATTGCATTCTTCACATCTTTTCAAAATTTTAGTAAGATTAGATAGACATGCATCAAATGAAGACCCATACACACTAAAATTATTAATAAAGACTTCCATGATAGACTCTATGAACTCAGAAAACATACTCATCATGCAACGTTGAAAAGTAGTAGGGGCATTACATATACCAAAGGGCATCCTACGATATGCAAAAGTACCATAAGGGAATGTAAATGTGGTCTTTTCCTGATCTTTAGGGTGAATCGGAATTTGGAAAAAATCCAAAGTACCCATCTAAATAGTAAAAGAACTTATAATTAGCTAACCTTTCTAACATTTGATCAATAAAAAGGAGAGGGAAGTGATCTTTCTTTGTGTCAATATTTAATCTACGATAATCAATGCACATACGCAACCCTGTTACAGTTCTAGTGGGAATCAATTCATTTTTATCGTTTTTAATCACAGTCATCCCACCCTTTTTAGGAACTACCTATACACGATTCACCCTCTTTGAGTACGAAATAGGATAGATAATACTTACATTAAGTAATTTCATAACATCTTTCTTAACTACTTCATGCATGTTAGTATTCAACCTTCTCTGGGGTTGAATACATGGTTTGTGATTGTCCTCTAAGTGTATCCTGTGCATACAAAAATCAGGGCTAATACCCTTGAGGTCATCAATACTGTACCTAATTTCCCTTTTGTAGGTTCGAAGAACCTCAAGAAGTTGGGAAGTTTGTAGGTCATCAAGTGTAGTACTAATGATCACAGGGTGTAATTCCTGTTCATCAAGAAATACATATTTTAAATGAGAAGGGAGAGGTTTTAGTTCAAGTTTCTTAACCTTTACAGGTTTTGATTCCTGAACTAATTTTACTACCTTCTTGCTCTCTTAGGGTCAAGGTCTTCAAATGCGAGTGCTTTCTCTATAGCATCGACCTCACTACTCCAAATACCAGCATCATTTGTAGTAAAATCACCACAAAGTACTTCCTCCAAGGGATCCCTCGCAAGGATCTGTGGTAAGCTATCTTCACTAATAACATCAATAACATCAATCACATCAATACTACAACAATTTTCCTCTAGCATAGGACCTTTCAAAACCATCCCTAGATTAAAAGTGATATTATCATCTCCGACAGATAGAGTTAATTTTCCAATTTTTACATCAATAATGGCTCCTGTAGTGTGGAGGAAAGGTTTACCTAATATTATTAAAATTTGTGTATCCTCAGCCATGTCTAAAACAAAAAAATCAACAGGGATAAAAAATTTACCAACTCTAACAGGGACATCCTCTAGAATACCTAAAGGGTATTTAACAGAACGGTCTGCCATTTGCAAAGTAATGTTTGTAACTTTTAAATCAAGCTTTGAACACACAGACGATGGCATAGCACTAGCACTGGCACCCAAATCACATAATGCTTTATTAATGAAGACATTACCAATATGACAAGGAATAGAAAAACTACCAGGATCCTTTAATTTAGGTGGAGATTTATTTTGCAATAAAGCACAACATTCCTCTGTAAAAGCTACAGTCTCTACCTCATTATAGGCTCTCTTCCTAGTCAAAATATCTTTCATAAATTTAGCATATGCAGGAACTTGTGTAATTAACTCTGTGAAAGGAACTGTTACCTGTAAGTTTTTCACAACCTCCAGAAATTTACCAATCTGCTTATCCAACTTAGTCTTCAATTGTCTGTTAGGGAATGGTAGTTTGATAACTGGTTTTTGTACATCTTCACTCTTGTCTTGTGTTGTAACTTTCTTTGGAGTTGTACCCTGCAATGTATCATCAGAAATGTTAGTTCTTACTCTGGAGCCCTGCAGGGCCAGTAACAAGATCATTTGGTATAACATAATCAGGATTAGTAATATTGGTTAAAACAGGTTCATCATCCTTAGGCATAGGAGGCCCATCATAGTGTGAATCACTCCTTAGAGTAATTGCATTTTCATGATCTGTAGGTTGTACTGGCTGCGACGGTAGGGCTCCCTGCTGGCGAGTAAGTACAGTAGAGGAAAGTTGCGCAATTTGATTATCCATGATTTTATTGTGAGCTAAGATCGAATCAATTTGTGCATCCCTACTCTGCATGTGCTTTTGCATACTAGCTAACATCGTTCTAATTTATGACAAGGCAGGGTCAGTAGGTGGAGGTGGATTTTGTGGTTGGGTCCTTTGGTTAGGAGGTTGGTAATATTTTGTTGTGTTTTGTTGTGGCGCTTGTTGTTGTGGTTGTTGTGGAGGTGGAGGGTTTTGCACATTGGTACTTCGGTAAGATAGATACAAATGGTTTTGGAGACCAGGATTATAAGTGTTGGAGTATGATACAATCTTGTTCCCAATGACCTACAATTCCACAATTTTCCCAAAAAACATCATTATTATTATTATTAACAATAGAAACATTAGCTACGGTGGTTGGAATAGCAGTACTAATATTATCTAAATTATGACAAATAGAAGTTAATTGAGCTTTCACAAAGGATACAGAATCGACATTATGTTTCCCGTTGTTTGCAAAACCTCTAGGATTCCCATATTGGGAATTGTGAATTGCTATCTCTTTTATAACTGTTCCTGCTACATCTACTTGAAAATTCATAAATCTTCCATTAGCTGCTGAATCTAGGATTGATCAAGATGAATTTCCAATCCCATTGTAGAAGGCTTGGATTATCTGCCACTTTGCTAGACCATGATGAGGGCATTCTCTCTGCAAATCCTTAAATCTTTCCCAAGCTTCATATAAACTTTCTTCAGCTTCTTGGGCAAAGTTTTGGATTGAACTTCTTAAAAAAGCTTTCCTCTATGCAGGGTAGTATTTATTATAGAAATTCAAAGCAAGAGTATCCTAGTCAGTAATACTAAGTACAGTTCTATTCAATCCATTGTACCATAATTTAGCTTTGCCACATAAAGAAAAGGGAAAAAGAATCTCCTCGATTTGGTCTTGCGTGACCCTAACTTGCCTAATAGTAGCAAAAATCCAAAATATGAAGATTTGGATCTTCACCCTTAGCTCCGCTAAATTGCTTCCTTTCGATCATAGTAATAAACTAGGGTTTAATCTCAAATTGTACTCCCTCAAGATTAGGTGTAGGAGCAAGATGTGGAAAATCTGTCAGGGACGGCTGCGAATAATCACTGAGCTTGCGAGGAGGTTGAGCCGTCATCTTTGATTCTGGTTCTGAAGAAACTTCTATGTTACTAGAAATCAGATGGGTTTTCCAAAGGTGTATTACCCTCGGAAGTATCTCGTACTTGTCGGAAAAGGTTCTTCTGTCTATGAAAAGAACGTTCGATTTCAGGATCGAATGGAATGTAACCTGATCTAGAATTACTGGGCATATATAGAGAACTAAACAAACAAATATGAGAAACTGTCCCAAAGAACTTGCGTTCTTTCGTTCTCTGAGACGAAAGAAAATAATCTAGACTACAGAAATAATCAGGAAAAAAAATAAAACCATTCCCCAGCAACGACGCCAAATTTTGACAGGCTAAAGTCATATCACCTAATCAAAAGAATTACCTAAGTCCTCTAACTAAAGTAGATAGGTAAGTAGGGTCGAATCCATAAGGAAACAAGTCTTTCTATTCCTAAATAATTAATATAATCTAAACTATTAAGTAGAAAAATTATTTTTGTGAGAATTAAACTAAGGAAAATAAATAAACTAAAGCAAATTGAAAAAGGGTGGAAATCAAGAAATCAAAGCTTAAGGTATAGGGTCATCCATAAGTAATATTTCAGGGTAAAATACAACAATCAATTATCAATGCATCAATTAATCAGATCATAAAGGGCTTTCGCTACATATTACAATCACAAAATTAATCTATCGGTATTAAATCGCATCTCTCGAATCTTGAATTAACCATTTATAAATTAACCTTCCTATTGAAACTAAGCCTAAACATCAATTCTCTTCTCTCGAGTCTCGAATCAATATTGCGTAACTCAAACAATTAAACCAGGCATAATCTAATTGCATAACATTAAATCAATCAATAGAAAATCAACCAAAGCATTAACAATCAACAATAGTAAATTACCCCTTCATATTATTCATGGATCCCCACAACCCTAGAGATAAAACTACTCACACATGTTTAAATCTAAATTAAGCAAAGCAAATAAACAAGACATAATTAATCAATGTAATTAATTACTAAAAATAAAGGGGAAGAAATCGTTACCAAAATGAACGGAAATAATAAATTGCATAAACTCTAAGTGTAGAGAGAGAAAACAAGAGTATTAACCAAAAGCTTAAAACAAAAATCTGGAAATTAAGTAATGAAAGACGTCACCGTATCTAGCTTAACTAAAATGTATTTATACTTAAGCACAAAAATCCTAAATAACAACAAATAAAAATCATCGAAATTTTCTTAAAAACACGCTCGGTCCATTGCCTCGATTAGGGCCTTGAAGCTTGGTCCATTGCCTCGAACTCTTCTTTTTCACCGAGCCCTTGATCACCGATTTTATGACTTTAACAGGTCTTGGGCTACGGAAAATGGTCATATGAATGCGCTCCTGCTCTGATGCTCGTAGTGGCTCCAATAAGTCAGGGAAAATGCACTTAATCAGTAATTTCCTATAAAATAATACCAAGACTACGAGAACACTAGAAAACGCATATTAGTAATAAAAGTGGCTCCAAAGAGCCAAAAATACTCATAAATATGACCACGGGACGGGGGTAAAACACTATATAAAATGAACATATCACGCTGCCATTCTCTCTGCCAAGCGCATAATGTCTTTGGTGCATTTAGGCTCCGGGTTGGCATAAATTCCTCTTTTGCTTACCATGAAGCCCAAGAATTTTCCCGAACTCACCCTAAAAACAAATATCTTCGGGTTCAGCTTGATGTGGTATTTGTTCAACATGGAAAATATTTCTTCCAAGTCCAGGACGTGTCTTGCTTGTGTGTTAATTTTGACAATTGAGTCGTCAACATACACTTCTACATTTTTCTCTTTTTGTTGAATGAACACCCTATCCATTGTTTTCTGGAATGTAGCCCCTGCATTCTTCAACCCGAAGGGCATAGCAACGTATTTGTACACTCCCCCTTCAGTGATGAATGCAGTTTTCTGCCTGTTCGGTTTGTGCAGGCTGATTTGGTGATACCCTGAGAAAGCTTCCATGAAGCTCAGCAATGTGTGCCCACTTATTGCATCAACTAATTGATCAATCCGTGGCAGCGGGTAACAGTCTTTTGGATAGGCTTTTTTGAGATCTGTGAAATCAACGCACATCCTCCACTGACCGTTTGCTTTCTTTACCATGACCACGTTTGCTAGCCACTCCAGGTAATCACATGGCTCAATGAATTATTCCTCTAGCAGCTTGTCCACTTCATCCTGTATGTCCTGATTCTTTTCTGTAGAGAAGCTTCGTTTTTTCTGCTTGGCCGACCTGATTTCTTCTTTCACATTCAGCCAGTTAACCATGACCTCCGGGTCAATTCTAGGCATTGAAAATGCAAAGATGCTCTTATTTTTCCTAAGAAATTCTACAAGATTCGTCCTTGTTTCAGGCTCAATGTCCTTTGCAAGAGTTGTCTCCCTCTGTGAGCTTAATCACTTCATGCTCACCACTGGGTAATGGCCTAGCTGCCTCTTCTTTCGTAGGCTCAAAGTTTTCCATGGCTAGCTTTTGTTTTTCTTTTTCTCTACAATATTCTTCTCGTTTTCTCTTTCTTAATTTTCTTTCACCCTGACCCTCTTGTTTTGGCTCCAAGCTAGGTTGTAGTTTTGCCTTAGCTGGCTGCTTTAGGGCTGTAATATAGCACTGTTGTGCTGTCTTTTGGCTTCCTCTAAGCTTGGCGGGTCTTCCATCATTGGTGGTGTAGGCCATAACTAGATGGTAGGTAGAGACTACCCCACCTGTCTTGTGAATTTGCGGTCTTCCCATGATCACATTGTAGGGTGAGGGTGAGTTTGTTATTAAGAACTCAGCCTGAACATCACTTCGTCGAGAGCCTTCCCTTACTCGGACTGACAGCTCCATTATTTCCTCTGGTATGAGGCTTGATTTGTTGAACCTGGTGACTTCATAACTCACCTTTTTAAGTCCTTTTTGTCCAATTTCTTATCCTTAAACGCGCTGATGAAGATTATATTAGCTGAACTGCCACTATATATCAACACTCTATACACTTCTTAATTTGCGATTCTCACCGTTACTACCAAGGGATCATCATGAGGATAGATTATGCCATCTTGGTCATACTCATCAAACACTGCTTGTGGCTGCGGTGGTAGTGGTGGCCATCTACGCCTTTCATTGTAGTTTATTTGGTAAATAATTGCTCATAGATTAGCCCTTGCCCTATTCACCGTTCCTCCGTGCACTGGTCCACCATTGATCACATATACCTTTCCTTCTGGCTTGCCGTCTCGATCACTGCCTTCACCTTGATCCTTTTGACCCCTTCTTTGATCATAGCTTGACTTATCCTCTTCTCTTCGTCGGCTGTAGTTAGAGTGCTGCTTGAACTGACTCAGGTATCTATATCGGACTAAGTCCTCTATGTTGTCCTTCAGGTGAGTACATTCATCAGTGTAATGCCCGTGGTCCTTATGAAAGTCACACCACTTGCTAGGGTCACGGTTTCTATTCAACATTCTTTGTGGTCTTTGCCACTTATCATCAGCTTTATTCACACTGAACATGTGAGATCTTGAATAAGTAAGTGGGGTTTACTGCTCGACTTCCTGGCTCATGCTCCTCGCCTTTGGTCAGTTCTCCTGACTCCCACTGACCTATTTGTTTCCCTTCGACCTTGTTCAGCCTTGCTTGGTTGATCCACCCTGGCTGAATTCTTAACCCGGGCCACTTCAGCCCGCTTGACTGAGTCATTTGGCGCCCTCCTGCTTAACATTGCTCTATCAGTCTCGTCTGCTTTTATGAACTCATGAGCTTTTCCTAGCGCTTTAGCCAGCGTCTTGAGACTTTTTTGTCTAATGTGTGCTTAGAACGGTCAGTCGGGTAGGAGACCACTCTCCATGGAAAATAGGGCCACCTCCTGGCTCATGTCTGGGATGGTTGTTGCCTCCTTGTTGAACCGGGTAATGAAATCTCGCAGGGGTTCTTCTT